CAAGTAAACAAACAACTAAAACAAATAAATAAATTAAATAAATAAATAAAATAAAAAAATAAATAAATACATAAAGAGAGAAAGAAGGACTGATACGATCAAAAGGGTCTGTTTTATTGGTTTCTCAGACCCATAAAACCCCAAAAAAACCAAAAAAAACAAAAAAAACACAAAAAAACAGAAAAAGAACAGAAATAAAGCAAAAAACAAAACAAAAACAACTAAACAAACAACAAACAAACAAACAAATAAATAAATAAATAAATACGGACTAATATGATCGAAGGGATCAGTTTTATTGGCTTCATTGATGACAGCAGTGGGGTTTCTTAGACCCATAAAACCCCAAAAAAACCAAAAAAAAACAAAAAAAAACAGAAAAAAACAGAAAAAAAAAAACAAAAACAAATAAACAAACAACAAATTAAATAAATAAATAAAAAAATAAATAAATACGGACTAATATGATCGAAGGGATCAGTTTTATTGGCTTCATTGATGACAGCAGTGGGGTTTCTGATCCATATATGTTGCAATGCATCTTCTATAGAAATTCTTTGATGGGGATTTGCTGTTAACATTTTACAAATAAAATCTTTCGCGCTGCTGCTGACGGGACGCCATAGAGAACCCTCAAAAGAAAGAGGATAAGTCTATACATATACACACATATAATATAATAAACCCTAAACCCTAAACCCTTATTTGTTTATCTATCTTTTTATATATTATACACCATACAAACTTATTTATGTATAAAACACTTGGCGATGATGCTTATTATATAGATTTATATACTGCTTATAGAGAACCCTCAAAAGAAAGAGGATAAGTCTATACACATATACACATATATTATATAATAAACACTAAACCCTAAACCCTAAACAAAAATTTATTTATCTATCTATTTATGTATTATACACCATACAAATGTTTATACAAACAAAACCCTTCGCGCTGATGCTAAACCCTCAACCCTAAACCCTAAACCCTAAACGCCCCGCATGGTTACGAATATAAGCCGAAAGATATGTGATACTGAGAACAAGGGTTTAGGGTTTGTGTATGGTGGTGTTTCTATTTCTACTACTTGAAATTAGGGTTTAGGGTTTAGGGTTTAGGGTTTAGGGTTTATAAATACCTGATGAAAGTGAGGTGACCCCAGATGCTTGTTGATAGGGAAGGGGAGTCTGCCCCGCAACAACAAATAAGTAATAACACCCACCGACCACAAATCTGCTTGTTGGTTGTAGCCCTCTAAAGACAAAACCTCTGGCGCTACATACCTGCACACAAACCCTAAACCCTAAACCCTAAACCCTAAACCCTAAAAAACCCTAAACCCTAAAAAAAACTAAAACATAGAGGTTAGAGGTGGGACACAATAGGAGAACACACACAGAACAATACATGAGAACATACAACACACAACACATACAAATGCAAACAGCAACAGCAGCAGCAGCAACAGCAGCAGCAGCAGCAGCAGCAGCAACAGCAACAGCAGCAGCACAAAACTCCCCCGCAACCAGGGGCATCCCCATCACCCCAAAAACCCAAAACAACAAACCAACCAACCAAACAAAAAAAACAAACAAAAAAACAAACAAACAAACAAAATAAATAAATAAATAAATAAATAAAAAAATAAATTACGCGAGAGTGCCGCAGGGCTGATGAAGAAACTCGTTGGGTCCGCATAGCGTAGAGAGCCCAAAATCCGCTAATTTAATTGTTGCGTTTTCTGTTTTATCTGTTAATAATATATTTTCGGGTTTTAAATCTCGGTGTATTATCCCGCATTTGTGTAAGTAGTATACTGTTGATAGCAACTGAGATACTATCCTGAGAAAAAAAGGAGACAAAAAGGAGACAGAGGGAGATAGATGGAGAAAGAGGAGACAGAAGGAGACAGAAGGAG